CTCAAATGCATGAAATTTAGTAGAATTCATCTTAGTTTGCTTTTATACACAGTAATAATGCTCTTATACACTGTAAATATTTGTCACTCATATTGGTTTAATAAATTTAATAAATATTGGTTGATTGGTCAGCAGTGAGGCAGGAAGTATAAGTGGGACAACCAGACTATGACAAATCTGGGAAGAGGAAAAACAGAGAAGCAGTCACCAGCCAGCCAGAGGAAGCAAGATGAGAATTGCCTTACGGTAAAAAAGTACCAAGCCACATGGCTAGACACAGACCAGAATTATGGCTGAATTTAAGTCCTAAAAGCTAGTTAATAATAAGCCCGAGTGATAGTCCAAACAGTTTGTGATTAACATAAGCTTCTGTGTGTCTATTTGGGACTGAATAGCTGCGGGCATGGGTGGGCCTGGGTGGGGCAGAGACATCCATCTATATTAGTTCTTTGTTTCATGAATGACTTGATTTGCTTCACCTTTTAGAAAATCCTAATGAAATGGTATGCGTGGACCTCAGTGTTTGGGGGAGGAGGCGAGTGAGTGGGACTGAGTGCCGCATGTCTCGGTCTCTGCACACTGAAATCCTGTCATGTTAGAAGTGCTTGGTAAACAAGCAAACTGAGAAGTCTGGATGAGCTCTAAGGAGAACAAAAGTTACAAAACACCTTTAATTATAAAATTTGGATAAACCAATAAAGTAGAAATGCTAAGTAGCTAGCAAACTTTTCTTTTCGGTCTGAGGTATGTTTTAATTAATTTATGTGTTTTTACATGTGTGGGTGTTTGCCTGCATTTATACCTATGCACCATATTCTTGCCTGGTGCTCACAGAGGCTGGAAGAGCACATCCTATCCCCTGGGATTGGGGTTACAAATGGCTGTGAGCTGCCATGTGGTTCTGGGAATCGAACCTGGGTCTTAGTGCTCTTAATTCCTGAGTCAGTCTCTTGAGCACCTGGTCTGAGATATTTCTAGTTGCAAAGACTTAGGATACTTTTAGTGTTTTCTTTAGGAAACTTTAAAACTTAAAGCAATTTTCTATTTCAGAAAGTAGATAAGGGATTTTTAAAAAATTAACCATGTAGCTTAGTGTGTTTTGTTGCCTTAATCCCCAGGGAACTGGTTAACTTGAACTAGAACTTTGTAAGTTAAAAACTAACTCTGTCTTGGTTATTTTCTGCACTTGATTTGTAGTAAGAAAAAAAAATCAAGGTTTGATCATGAGAGATAAATGTTCAAGTTTTCGTTTAGAAGCACCCGTATGTCAAATATAATTTTAGAGTCTAAAAGGCATGTTTCTAAGAAATGGCTGCTCTGTTGCTCTGAGGAAACTGCTATGATAACACTCACTCTTCTGGATTTTACTGTGCCAGCGCTCTCTCTCTCTGTCTCTTCTCTCTCTGCACATGCATGTACATGTGTGTGCACATGTATGTAGGTCTGTGTGCAGTGGTGAATCTCCTTACCTCACAAACAGCAGTCTAATGGATATGTGTAGTTGTTCTGTTATTATTGCCCATGTGGATATTTGCCTTAAGATTTAGGCCTGCTCCTCGGGAAACTGCTATAACTATTCTAGAAATGATAATATTAGGATATTTTACATGCCATTTCCTTCAGCATGTTTTTTAAATTTTACTTTTTATGCACTAGAAAAATGACTTACAACTTGTGTAATTTTAGTAAATAGAACAAGACAGCTGAGACGTGGAGCTTCTCAAATCAACGGGAAGGTCAAAATGGATGTCATTCCTGTACAGTGCTTACTTAGCTTGAAACATCTGGCTTAAATGTTTTATAGTCATCTCAAACACTTAAGTGTTTTTTAAATGTCATTAAAATAGCAACTAATTAATATACTCACACAATTTACAAAAGTAAACCAAATGCCACAGATTCTTCTGTTGCCTTTGTATTTATTTATAGCAGTGTGCCCTGCTGAATGTGTGCTTGCATTTGAATGTCTGTTGTTCACACATTGTGGACAGCTACAATCTTGCACCACTATTCGGTAGGCAAAACCATCAAAGTAATTAGTTTAAATCTACTTGTCTATTTATCAAGCCATTCAGGCCGTTTTTGAAAATTATTGGTAAGGTTGCTTGTGGATTATGTTAGGCTGAGTTCTGCAGAAACAAAACCAAGACAGGCTCCTAGAATACCGGAGTTATTCGAGGATGCGCTAAGCTATAGATTGTGAGGAAGAGGGGAGAATGCCTAGGCGGGAGGGCATCTTGGTGGAGGCTGACGCTGATATCAATTGGGCTAGACTGGCACCAGCATTGGCCCCTTTAGAGTGAATTTACCTGGCTAACCTTGTTGACCTATGTCTATAGTCAGCTGCTATTAGCGGTTGACCTTGGAAACGGCATGGGAGGGGAGTCTCAGAATGTGGTGTTTCTGCTCTGGCCCAGGAAGTTTTCCCACAGAAGAGAAGGGTCTCTAGATGTCACCAGCCAAGACTCACAGTATCTTGGTGATGGAGACCCCCCTAAGAAACAGCCACTGTTGTATAGCTGGATAGTAGTTTAAAAGGACAGACACTTACTGGATGAGGGTTCTGTCCCTTTCCCCTCTGGAGAAAACCCACGTACACACAAATCAGATAAGGATGGAAATTCAGCTGTGCTCAAGGCCCTTTGATTTTAGAAATAATTTAAAACATTAACAAGGACGTGGACTTTAGTTCCAGTCTTCTATCGTTTGTGGGATGGTACTGAAGAGTTTCTCCTGCTTACCACTGTTAAAATGATGCACATTCCTGTGAGAATGGTCCTTGAGAGGGGACCGGAGGCATTGTCCTTGACAACCCGAAGGGACTTTAAATGCCAAGTGCACTCAGGGAAGCTTTGCTCCTGGGTTAATTTTCCTACTTGAGATGTTTTATTTGCAGAAGCCTTTGGCTGTCTGCACATGCAGAACCAATCCAGTTGGAACCAAAACACTCATGTATTCATGAATGAATACATTTGATACCTTTCCCGAATTACATCATTATGACACACTGAACAGTTTGGATGGACCATCTCCCACCCTCTCTTTTCTTTCCTGGATGTAGTAGGTATGGAGAATTTTCTCTTTTAAAATTGTTTTTCTCTTGCTCCTTATCAGAGGACTGAAGAAACTAGACCTTGTGTGAGGATGGTGGAATTCCCATTAGTTACTCTCACCTAAAGGTGTCTTATTTGCTTACAATGTCAAATGTTTCTCAGAGGCAGAAAGATACCAGGAAAAAAATTGAATTGCATAATTTAAGTTGTAAGATCATTGATAATAGTAGAAATAAACAATGGTAATCTGTCTTGGATCAAAGAAATATTCATTGCTATTAATAGTTCCTCTGATTGCATCTGTATTTGATTATTCTAATTTACTTAACGGGAGTAATAACATGCAAATAAAATCAGAATATAAAGAGGCATTAATTCAGTTTAGAGTTCAAACTGACAGTGCAACTTTTTCACTTTGCACCAGACTTTGTCAATGCTTCATGTAGATCATGAATCATCCCAGCGCCTGAAAGGAGTGGGAAGTTGGGGGGTTGCTGGGGAGATGGCTCAGTGTTTAAAAGCACTTCTGGAGGACCCAGGTTCAATCCCCAGCATCCACATGGTATCTTGCAATTGTCTGTAACTCCAGTTCTGTGGGAGTTATACCTTCCAACTAATACACATAAAAGAATGTTAAATAAATTATATATGTAAAAAGTGGTGGGAAGGGACTAGGCATGTTGGAATGGAGTGGACTCATGACTAGGGCATGTTCACGGTCTTGTTTACAAGTGATTTCTTGGTAAAGGTCTTTCCACCAACCTGCAGGATTTTGATTTCAACCCCTGAAAGCCAAATGATAGGAGAGAACTGATGATGGAAGTCACAAAATAATCCCACACCAGTTCAGAATTATGAATAATAAAGGGTTATCTATTTAAGGGAAACTTACAGATCCCTGTCCTAGATAACCATCCTCTGTGCAAACAGGAACAGAGTCTAGCAGCTGGAAGTAGGAGCCAGAAGCGAGAGAGCCAGCACATACTTTACAGCTGCATTTACAGTATAAGCGACCATGCCCAAGTGGGCTGGTGTCTTAAATGCTATTGGCTGAAGGAGCGGAATGTGCTCCCACAGCAGAGAACCGACTCCAGTTAGAGGTTCTACAACTTCCTGGGCACCCGTGTACACACACACACACACACACACACACACACACACACACTGCATGCAATGAAATCAACAAAAATCAAGTTATTATTTAGTCACCAGAAACGCAGCACCATTGTTCTTCCCACCACCAGTCTGTGGTGTTATCCACAAAGCAGGAGGTAAAGAGAATAAAGTAAAAGATTATTTGACTTGCGTCAGAGTGCAGACCTCAAATAAATGCCAATCTGTCTTTATTTCCCTTTATGTAAAATGTTCATCTACTTACATTTGTGCTTTTCTCCAGTGGAGAAATGGGGACTTTGTTGAATAAGAAAAATGTCTTTTTAGTCTTTATCCCTAATAACTATTTTCCAGTGTTTATCTACTTCATTCACTGGTGACGGTTTCTAAAATATTGCTAAAGGCAGAAAAGATCGCTTTGAAAAATAAATTAAAATAAAGAAGTAGAATACTGCTAAAGGCAAACTAGAACAAATATTAAGAGAATATTGTGTCTTACCAACATCTTCAAGTTGTGCTTGGAACACTGGCAAGATCAAACCAACAACTGAATAAATCCACTATAGGTGGGCTTAGTACTTCTCTGGAAAGTGATCAGTGGTTAGCACTAAGGAAAAATGCCTCAGTTGGGCATGTCGGTGCATTCCCATGGTCCTTCTTTCCGGGCTTAGATGGGTAGGGGTGGGGTGACACTGGGGTTCTCTTGAGACCAGCCTGAACAACATAGTAAGATACTATCTTCAAAGAAAACCTCTTCCTCTGTGATTATTATTAGAAGTCCCTTAAACTCCATGATTGCTCATGTCTGTGTTGTGATGTTTTTATTGCTTCCAGAAACTTCCAGCTAAGCGAAGAAGAGCAGTGGATTTACCAGGCTGTCTTAGATCAGTACCCTGGAAATCTCCTTGGCAGAAGGACTCTGTACTTGGACATGTTACAAAGATACTTTCCTCACAAATCCAGGCATCTTTTGGTGAGTGCATATCCCGATGATGAATATGTATATCCCACATGCATGTGAATTGCGGAGTTCAGTGGTCCCTAGTTAGTAAGACAAATTTATGTTTTGGTGGTTTGAAAGAAAACCTCCAAAGGGAGTGTCACTATTAGGAGGTGTGGCCTTGCTGGAAGAAGTGTGTCATTGAGGGGGCAGGCTTTGAGGTCTCCATCTCAAGCTTCCTTAGTGTGTCAAGTCAGTCAACTTCCTGTTCCCTGCAAGGCACAGCATCCTCAGCTCTAGCATCGTGTCTGCCGGTACACACACTGCCATGCTCCCCCCCCCCCTTCCTGATCATAATGAACTGAACCTCTGGAACTGTAAGTGAGCCACCCTCATGAAATGCTTTCTTTATGCATTGCCATGGTCATGGTGTCTCTTTACAGCAGAGAAAACACTAAATGAGACGCTAGTGCTCTGAGAAGTCTTTATTCCCCCCACTATAGAAGATACTGTTCTACTGGGAACTCACCAAGACCAGCTGGCCTGGGTCTGGAAAAGCCTGGGATAAAACCGGACTCTCTGAACATAGCGGACAATGAGGACTACTGAGAACTCAAGAACAATGGCAATGGGTTTCTGATCCTACTGCACGTACTGGCTTTGTGGGAGCCTAGGCAGTTTGGATGCTCAACTTACTAGACCTGGATGGAGGTGGGGGGTTCCTTGGACTTCCCACAGGACAGGGAACCCTGATTGCTTTTCGGGCTGGGGGGGGGGACTTAATTGGGGGAGGGGGAGGGAAATGGGAGGCGGTGGCTGGGAAGAGACAGAAATCTTTAATAAATAAATAAATTAAACAAACAAACAAACAAAAAAAAAGATACTGTTACAGGTTGCAAAGCCAGACTGGGGCTGCAGCAGGGCCACACACCCGGACATGGGCCTTGGCAGCAGCCTAGGCCTGGGCATCTCCATGGCCTCCAGTGGCAAGCAGGCCAGGCCATCCACCTTAGTCCATTCCTCATGTCCTTTATCTCTTCAGATCTGCCTCTCCCCACAGGAAATGAACCATTCTCTCTCTCTCTCTCTCACCCTCACCCTCACCCCACCATACATTTGCTCACTACAATAGTGCTGTTCTGTGGCGGAGCAGGCACAGGCATTTTCTCCTCACCACCCTGGGCAGACCGCCCCAGGCCAGGCTTGTGGGCCTCCTTCCCTTGATGGTGCTGGGTCAGGTCCCCATGTAGTAAATATTTAATTTTGTTCTTTAAGTAACTCATTAAAAAGTTCTTAATTGATCAAATTAGCGGTTTCCTTTTATTCCCTGAGTTCTGTTTGTCTCTGCAGCTAGCCATCAAGCGTAACTCTAGATTTTTATATTTTATTACTATTGATGCGAAAAAGATTTTTACGTTTACTTTCTACGTTGGATTGATCACCATATATTTCTGCCCGGCATGTGCTTCCTTTCCTTAATGCTTGACAGATGTTGAGTGTATTTTTAGCTTTATAGAACGAAGCTAAGAAGTGTACAGACTGTGTGCTGTATCTGGTTAAAGTCAGACCATGGCCTGCTCCATCCTGATCCTAATTCTGCCCGAAGCATCGCTTTATGTGGGGCATATATCTTATTTTGCTTTTCTTCCTAAACCCTCGCCACTCAGGGATCAAATAACTGATCCGACTCAGAGGTGTGGGACACACTAGGAAAGTGAAAGGTCCCTTCCAGCTGCGACTCTTGTTTTCCGAATCCCCTGCAGCAATTTCAGACCCGCCAGACTCCCCCATCTTTGTGCCTCCCCGGGAAGAAGTGCCCACAGCCCCCATGAGAAGCCGTGTCCCTCATGGGGGTGGGGGGAGGCCGGAAGGTGTCATCACCAGAACTACTTTTAAGCATCCTCAGAGCTGATCACTTTAGTGACGAAAGGCAAAACTGTGACTTTCTACGATTATCGTGGCACTAAAAAGTGTTTTATCAAAGCATGCTGTTTAAGGGAAACATAATGTAATCATTTAAAATACCAAAATTGATTTAAAGTGGAATATTTAAAATTGCATACGGGAGACAGATTGCTCTCTGTTGAAACATTGCCATTTAGAATTAAGAGTCAGTGGTATCATTAGTTGCCAGTTAGGCACAGTCTCTGAAGACTGGAGCTCGTGTCTTGTTCCTGGTTATGGTGAGGATGTCCATACTTGTTGTCCTTACTTGTTCAAACCCCTTGATAATGAAGTTTATCCATTTCCTAATGGTGACATAAAATCCAGGCTTGTTTCAGAATGCTAAGTCACTGCCGTCTGTTGTTACCTTTGTAGGTAGAACATGAGAAATATTGTGACCAGTATCACTTTGCTGGAGAGCAGAGAAGAATCCTGATAGACAGTTGGACCAAAAGCAGAAAAGACTTCATACAGAAAGCTCTGCTGACCCTCCTTGAGGCCTGTGCAGCCCATGAGATGGAGAGCATGCTGGCCAAAGACAGGAAACGGCAGCAGGAGCTGTGTGCTGATCTGAAGGCCAAGGTAAGGAGTCGCAGTGGGTGCTTTGATGCGAGGGTGGATACTAAGAATCTACCAATGCCAGGTGGTGGTGGTGCACGTTGTTAATCCCAGCAGTCAGGAGGCAGAGGCAGACAAGTTCAAGGCCAGCCTGGTCTACTGAGTTCGAGGACAGCCGGAGCTACACAGAAACCCTGTCTCCAAAACCAAAACAACAAACAAAGAAGTCTATATCTGTTCAAATACTTGAAGCTCACTCTCTGGAAAGCCCATCTTGATGAAAACTGTTGGTTTGAACTGTAAGATATTGCAATTCATTCAGGTAAAAAAATGGCCAGCGTTCAGCACTTCTATAAAGCTCAACCTAAAGTTCCCGTAACAGGATGTCAATATTGGAATGTTGATGGTGACATTTAACATCGGCCAGAGGTGCTGCCAGGTGTGGCTAGATGGACCTGCCCGACACTGAGCCAGACCCCGTTCACATGGAAGAGCTGAAATGGCCAAGAAGATTCACATGGAACATGCAGTGGCCGTGTGTAGCCCTCAGCAAAGTGTAAGGGTGTAGCTGGGGCTTTGTTCCTCCTCTGAGCCAGTGAGGGGGCTTCAGTGTGCTCCGCGAACTTTGGTGGGAGGGACGGAGTGTGTCTGCTGCACACAGGCAGATGCAGAGATGCTGTCTCCGCGTGAGAACTAAAGGCAGGGGTTGCCACTCTGCTGGAGTAAGTGCACGTTCCTCCGCAGTCACAGGGGCCACTGAACAAGTTGTGTTCACATGCAACAAGATACAGGCATCTTAGTTTACACTGCTAAGTAATATAGCGGGACACAGCAAGAAGTTTTATTCTCTTAATAGAAAAGCCTGGCAAGTATTATGGTATAGTTCTAATATCTAAAAACAAATGCCTGTTTGAAAAAAAAATGAGAGGAAACATGCTGGCTTGACATGTCTTAAGAAGTAGGGAGATTTCCTTTTCATGAGTTTGGAACCTAGAAAAGTAGAAGTTGCCTCTTCTAGGCTGATCTCCCTCAGGCTACAGAGCTGGCACATGTTTCTCACTCTTGGAGACGGATAGGGAAAACACAGGGTCAGGGGCTGGACAAGTCCTTACGCTGCTAGACTGCCTCTGTCCACACTGTGAGCATCGCCATTCACCCTTGATCTGTGCCGTGAGCCATGCTATGCTGCTCTGGGGTAAGTATGTGCAGCCAAGCTCTAAAGTGAGCTATGGAGTGAAGTTCACGTATTCTACTCCATGGAAACGTCGAGTACGATATAGTGCATATAAAATGGATTTCTGTGCCTCGGAGGCTTGCTCATGGCTTACTCCCTTTCTCTGGCTTTATCTTTATGGATGTGTTATCTACTCCAGGGGTTTGATACATAACAAACCGTTGAGGACACAGCCTTTATGCTCCTTATGCTCATCGTGTTTTGTTTGAACCTTGTTTCATGCTGGAGTCATTTGTTTTTAGTGTTGTGTAGTATTCTGTTTTATACACATACAGTTTATATAGCTTTCTGATTTTTTTGCTATTCTGAACACAATCAGACACGCCTTCCTGAACAGACATGCTTATTTCTGTTGCGTCTGGGGAAGCAGAGCGGGTAAATCACAAGGTTTGAGTGGCGGTAGCTTGAGTGAACAATGCTTAGATAGTTCCCCAAAAAGGTTATACAGATTTTCAGCCGATATCCTTCGCATCCCGTTTTCACTAGCCTTGCCTCAGCCAGAGTTCAGGCTGGTCACTGAGGGCCTACAGCTTCCACATGCATTTAAAGTAAAGACCAAGAACCTTGATGCTCGCTGTCCAACCGCTGAACCTTCCAGTCAAGTCTTAGCTGCTCCTCTCTTAGGTCCCCTGAATTTCTGTTCCTCATTGTGTGTTTTATACGTATTCTCCATGTGCGTTCTGTTTCTTTTTATTTTCTCCCAGTCCACTGCTTGTCTTCTTTACCCTTTTGGAAATGTCCTTGGGATGAGCAAAACTGTTAATGGTATTTTGTCTCTGCAATTCGTTCCTTTTTATCCCCGTTGCAGGTGCCTCTGTCCAGTCGTGTTAGTACCTTCGTGATGGCTGTGACTTTATTGTGTGATAGGGAGCTTTAGACTTTGCCATGACTCTCTGGCCTCTCACTCTGCCCCTTCCCCTGCACTAAGGTTGTCACTGGACACTGTGCCTCAAGGGAAGAGGTGCTCTCCCTTCCTCTTCATCCACAGTCCCTGGGTATTGGCCCTCAGCCTCCCCAGTGACCCTGAGGACATTTTCCCTCATGACAAACTGCTTGGTACCTTTAAGTGGTTCTCTTGGAATACTTTCCTGCCATGCTCAGAAGAGGATCTTTTCCTTCTTTCCAACTCCAGGGGGTCTGTTTGTCTGCTCTGTGTGCTTGCTGCCCTTCCCCATGTATCTGTAATATGCTCTTCCCATTTTCAGTTCCTCCCTCATTTACCTGCGCTGCCATTAGAGACTCCCTTTCCTTGGAGACCCTGACCACTATCTCTTTTTTCCAAGCACTCTGAGATTGGCGCAGCAGAGTCAGAGAGGGCACAAATTCCCCAGTGTCTGTTGCTTCTGCCGGCGCTAGCCTTTCATGCTCTGCTAAATCATCAAAATGTGAAAATCATTAAAATTTATCAGTCCATTACAGAGGCCTAGCTGCTGTCTTCCTGCTCACCTATGCACAGTGGCCTCATCGGCAGGTGCTGCGCTATAGGTGAGCCACCTTGCGGATCACCTGTGTCCTTAGAGGCCTCCATCCTAACTCAGTTATGGCCCTGTGGTCTCTGCTGATGGGTTTGTGAAAAATTCTGATGAAGGTGAATCAGCTTTTGAATTTTTTTTGCTGTGCAAGTAGGAGTGACATTCTTTTCAACTTTTTATACCCATATGGAAGCTGGAAGATCTTAATGAAATCCCGCTCATCACTGTTTTAGGTGCCCTAGTTAGAGTGTTGGCCAGTTGTAAGAGGTCATTATCAAGGGTATCCTATCCAGGCAGGAGTTTTGTGCCTACCTGGATCCTCAACAAAGGTGTATGCAACCCCCAAACGAAGGTAGCATGACAAGTGGCGGCAATCTGATAGGTTAGTCAGATGAAAATGTGCAGGACCTAGTAGGGACACTTTTCTAGGGATGGTCCAGCTAGCAATCAAGGCAATGGCCTTGCTAGGGCAGCAAGAGTCAGCATTAGCCACCAGCAGGGTTTAGTTATACCCTGTCAGTGACATCAGAGGACCATGCTTGACTCCCCTTGTCAGGCCTTCCCTCTTCCTTTGCTTTTCTGTGGGACCTGGAGGGCAAAGGTTCCAGGAAACAGAGAAGTCATTTTAAGATCACAGAGGAAAGGACCCTGGATCTACTGGACCTGGATTCTGATGTCTGAGAGTGTGTTTTATAATTTATAGCCCCTATTCTGCTGAATTCAGATCTGGCGGCTCTATATGACTTATAGACCCCAGTTTGTGACAAAGTGCTGATTTCCCATACATCATACTGTCTGGTGTTTCCTCAGCACACTGAGGTCCCCCTGATCTCCATAGAGTCTTTCTGACAATCTGCTCAGTCCCAAACTTCAGCTGACATGTGAGGTGAGCTGCAGTGCCTGGCTGAATGGGAGACAGCACAAGCATAGTCTCTCAGGAGAGATGTGATCACAAAAGGCTACCAGAGTTTGGATTTGAGTGTGTCACCCAAGGTTTGTGTGCTGGGAGGTGGGCATGGTGGAAGGTAGTTAGGTCATGGGAATACTACCTGGGCAGACAGATCACGGGAACACTACCTGGGTAGGCAGTTAAATCACGGGAACACTACCTGGGCAGGTAGTGACTGGTGCTCTTCCCAGTGTCCATTGGCTCTCATGAGAATGCTCTATTTTAAAGCAAGGTAATGCACCCTCTTGCATGCAGTCAGCTCTTTCTGCTTCTCCATCATGATGTGAAGCCACTGGATATCCTTAGAATACCAGCACCATGCTATGTGGACCCTCTAGGCATCAGCCTTGCGAGACAAACGAAATTCTTTAGGAGTTATTTAACTTCAAATGTTCTGTTATAGCAACACAAAACAGACAAGGGTGAACGAATGCACCCTCCAGTGGGTAAGTGGAATCGGAAAGGGGAGACATATGAACCCAAAGTTGTGGTGAAGTAGATTTTATTGTCCTGCAGATAGAGTGTTGCCATCAGAATTTGCATTCCTAATGGGGGGCTAGGACTCAGTAAATAGCTGGGATGAAGATATATTATAAAAGGAAAGAGATAAATCTGTACATTGTGCAGTAATTTACAATGTTCAATTATCCTTACAATTTTTGACATGGAAGAAGCCGTGAGATTTATTTCTTTGGCATCTGTTTATAGCTGAAAGCGGAGTCCTGAGAGATGAAGGCACTGCCTAGGGTTCATACTCGCTCATTCAGCTAGAAATCCAACACTATCTATCTCGGCCCCACACAGGTTTGCATATAAAGAACACCACAGAATAATGGAAGGTATTTATTATCCCGATGGCCCCAGGTGTGCTATGTATTAGACCCACAGGATGTGGGAAAAATATTACTTCACTGTATCATAATTTTGACCTTTCAAAAACTAATACACTAGCTATAATAAACATTAATTAAACATTTAACCATAATTTTGTTCTCAGGCTTAGAATTTAAAAGGTCTTTGGGGGAGTGAGTTAGATGATTTATGTCTTAAGAAAAGCACTAGAGAAAATTTTGGAATGCTGAATGCCTGTTTTTCGTCTTTTCGGTGGTCTGTCAGTAATGGCTGCTATCGCAAAGTAGAGCTGGTTAGGCCTCTCAGGATGAGACAAAGAGAAATGTGTGCTCATCTCTCTCGTAATCCCACAAACCCTGCAGTCTTTGCCCTGTGTCCAGCTCAGACCATCCTGTTGGTTCTACAGGCAATTCTTCCTATCTTCACAGTTCAACTGAGGAGGCTTTCCCTAAGATGCCAGTGACTTTCTTTGCTTCCATGCCGAGTGACCATGTATGGCTGTGGAGAAGACAACCTC